GAACTTATTTTTACCATATAAATAATTCATATTTCTACCCAACATGGTTCAATGAAACAATTAAAAGAATGGACAAGTCACAATATATGAAACTCATTTATTGAAACATAATTAAACTGAAACATAATTTCATATGTACATACATTAGTTAAAAATAGAAACTTGATTAACCTTTTCAAATTACTGTTAATTTATATTTTGGTGATGTGTTGTAGCTATTTTGTTAAAAAAAAAAAAGATCTGTTTATGTTTATTGGAAAGGCAGACTTACAGAGAGAAGCAGAGACAGGGAGAAAGATCTTTCATTTGTTAGTTTCTTACCCAAATGGCCACAACAGCCAAAACTCAGCTGAACCATAACCATGATCCAGGAGCTTCTTCTGGGTCTCTCACATGGGTGCAGGATCCCAAGGCTTTGGACCATTCTTATTATTTGGAGATACACACTGAAAAAATATAAGGAAATCAGGATATGCCATTTGGATCTGCTTCACATTATTCCAAGTGGCAGGGACTGGGAAAAAATGTAGGTAAGCCATATGGGCTTGAGCTTATAATTATTAATGCTGGGAGATGCAGAATGGATTGTTAAACTTTTTGCTTATTTTTATCCATGGTAGAAATTTTGTAATGAGAATGTTACAATAACAGGAACAATGTAATCAAAATCAAAATTCAAACCACCAACTAGATTAAGGAGGGAATGTGTCATAAACTATTGCTATTAAATATTTCAGACATTCAGTCAGCAATTATCTTGTTGAGCACCTAGTATGCGTAGGTTCTATAACAGAATAAGTGTGGTGAAAGCCAAACTGAGGTACACTACAATTTTCAAGCGTTTACTTGGTCATTCGAGAATTCACAAAATACCAGGTAGTAGACTGTACATGGCTCAGCACTCCCCTGCGGAGTGGGAGCAAGAGAGAAAAATTCAAGTCAGGTGTTTGTGAAGACAAGATAAAAACCAAGCAAACAATTAACCAAAAGACCCTTAGTGGAGGTTGGATAGTTTGTAACTAATTAAGCCTAACCTTTTTTGTATTGCTGTTAATATTGGATGATGGTTTTCTTACAACAGAAATTCTAGGAATTGCTGTTCATCTTAAAGGCTTCCCAGTTAACGATCAAAGAGGAAAGAACAAGACAAAGTCCCTGCTCTTCAGGGGTTTAAATGTCTACCAGGACGCAGACAAGTAAATAGATGAGTAAAGTGAAGAGCTAGAGAATCTAGGGTAAGATTTTTAAGTATTTCACAGTGTTAAGCAGTCATTCTTCCCAGTGACTGAAGACAAGCTGTTTGGCCCTTGTGTGTGCAACTCTTCGCACTACCGCCCTCTTGAGGTGACATCGAAAGAAACATTTTGAAGTCCTCACTGGAGCACCTGGATGAGGGTTTTATGGTCAAGAAGTCACAGACAATTCAGATGGTTAGGTGGGACTAGAAAAGGGGGTCTAAGAATAAGGTGATATGTGGTGAAGAAACTTCTAGTGGGCTCCCTTAAGTCCCACAGTGACATTTGAGTGAGGGATTGTTCCTTCTCCACTGCTGCATGAAGCGTTGGATTCTTTTTCAATTTCTCAACTCAGAGTGTCATTCCAGGTTGTTTCTTTTTCAGTAAATGAGTAATCTGGTCTTGCTCTGTGAATCGGGTGAATGACATTCTACAGAAGCATAAGCTAACTGGTCAATACATTGCACTTGCATAATAACACAGATCTTTCTCAAGATACGGGTCCTGCATAGGATGTTAGTGCTGAGCAACTGGCTCCTGTCAATTGAAATGTTACCACTCTCACCTGTCCCATGAATACTCAGCTGTGATCCCTAATATGGTCCTGGTCATGGAAGCCTTCAGCCCTCAACTCTAATCAGTCTTCAGGCAAGGCCCTGAGGGGGAGCAAGAAACCTTTCTTCTCTTCAGAAGCCAGGGCAGTATCTCTTCTAGTTATTGTTTATCTCACACTGGGGGAATGGAATACAGGGGTCCTTCAGGGCAGGGGCACTCCTGGAAGGAGTCCTAACTTTCTGCAATGAAACACTCTCCTGTGTACTTTTAGCCAGTACAGAATGCCCTCTGATCTGGGGTTGCGAGGCAATGTTTAAAGCTACTACTGCTAACTTCTGAGCCTGGCCATCTGGAATAGCCTTTCCTCTACAGCCCTATTCCTTGTCCCATCAACTGGCTCATGGGAGTCTGGGGTTCCATGGTCAGTTTCTAAAATTGTATTCATAGGAATGGAGCCCATAGGAATGGATTTAGAGTCATTCACAGCTAAAAAGTCATCTGTGTCCTGACAAGAGTAGACATGGCTCTGCGCAAGTGTTTGTTTGATCTTGATGCATGTGGTTTGAGTCCTATGGATGAGGTGATATCTACAATCTCAGAATCTGCCTTCTATACCTGCGTGTAGGATTTCCTGTCAATTTCAAGCCATTTAGGACTTCCTGTAGGTTCATCTAAATCTGGGATGCTCCAGACCAGGGACCAGGAATATGATTGCCCAATTCTAGGAATATTCCTGGGAGCTTTTGATCTTAGTGATTTAGTAAGTATCACCATTTCAAAAGTCCCAAGTGAACCAGAGGAGAGATTTAACACACACACACACACACACACACACACACACACACACACACAGTTCTCTGCATACATTTGGGTGCCTGTACCACCTCACCTAACTGATTTAACACCTAGGGGCCATTGATGCTATGCTTGACAACAATTTCCAAGGATGCTATGCCTTTGGAGACTGAAACTAGCTTCCATGCTTCTTTGGACCTTAGAGCTGAAAAACCCCAGTGTTTGAATTACACCAAGCTGACTCCTGCAGAGAGGGTTTAGGGCTTGGTTACGGAACATGAGGACAAAGCTAGCCTACACAAGTCTTGCCCAGAGGCCTGGTATCGGGAACTAGTTGCTTATAAATATGCCTCTTTTGCAGCTACCATCATGCTAGAGCTGAAAGTTTGCAGTGGTCATCCATGGAGTTAGTATTCTTTAGATCAGATTGTGAATCTGCTAGCCAGCATGAGACAGGGCCAGTGTGGTGTGTTAGGACAGCCACACACTCCTGTCATGGGGGACTGCGCTGTGAGTGAAGTTGGTGCTGATGGGGATCTTCCATTTTTCACTTGTAGCCAGGCAAGGTAACTAAGTAACAGGGACTGGCTCTTCCCTCCTGTTCTGATAAGCAAAGGGAAGGAGTTAAGAAGTCTGTTCACTAGGACTAAGGAATAACATTGAACCCTAAAGGTTATGGATCGGTGGGAAATAGTCTGTCTTACAGGGTTGATCAACTCTAGGAACATAATGCTACCACAAAATGGGTGCCCAGGTGTACACTGGGTGGCCTTGTCAACGACAACCAGGCATGTCTGCCGGCCAGTTAAAAATCCTCATTCCTCATCCATTAGCAGCTGGCTTGAGCTTGTCCTTGGCGCACAATCATTAGGAAAGAAGGAGAAGTATTCAGATTTTTCATTTGAAAATCCCTCTTAAGACTTGGGAGTACAAAAAGAATTACAACTGACAATGTATAACTTTTATAGTTAGAGAGCCCAAGGTGGAGAGACACGGGAGGTCTACCAGCAGCTGCTGTTCCTTGGGTTAAAGTTCTGTAACAATGATTTCATCCTAGGTGGAGATTTGTTACTTATGATGTGGGCCTGGGATGTTAGTTTTAATTTTGGGATCTTGACCATCACAGAAGTAAGAATTGGACATGGATGTATATGTAGGTAAGAGCATGATTTACTTGAAAGTACAAGAAGGAACACATATCAGTTCATGAATGTGGGCTGTCCACCAGCAATATCCAACATGAGTGAATCTGAAGTTTCCTTAGAAAGAGTGTCAGTGAGAGATAGTTGTGTGTGTGTATGAGAGAGCTCGAGAGAGAGAGAGAAACCTAAATGACACTCTGAATTATCAGTGGTGAAAAGAGTTTACCCATTCTCATCCTCTTTAGGAAGTAGAGTGTGCTGCCTTAGCATGAATGACTCTGTAGAGGTTAATACCCAGATGGTCATCATGGTGTCTCCACCTCTCTGGGAAGGTGGGACTTTCAGACAGGTTCTACCTCACTGAGGGCCAACCAGCAGCCTGCCTAGTCACACCGTATCAGCACCACATTTCCATCGGGGCATCTGATCATTTTGCTTTTGGACAAGTGACACTGTGACCCCAGCTCTTCACCCCTCTTCACTGCACATCTCCCAAGGGGGCTTCTGAGCCCTGGTCCTTGAACATGTGAAGATGGTGTTATGCTGAGGGTTGTTGAAGTTGATGTCATTCCAGGAAGGGTGTTATGTTTCCACTTGAGTTCCCAGCAGGGGTCTGTTCTCGCACGGTGTGTGATTGCATTATCCCCTGATGTCCTTGTCTTTCTCACAGCAGGTCTTGTCCATCCAGCTGCCCGGTCTCTGCTCAGGCTTCACATTTTTGATAAACGTTCCTCCCAAAACTTCTTTTTCCCCAGGACTTATTTATGTGAAAGGCAGAGTTACATGGAGAGAGAAGAGACAGAGACATCCAATTATTAAATGCTGTTTTCCTTTTTTCCCTCTGGATTGCTCTTCCTGCGAGCCAGTCCACAGCGCCTCCCTCCCGCGCCTGTGCCGCCGTCAGAAAGACAAGGGGTGAGCCGCCGTCCAAGCAGCTAAAGCACACACTGGGCTCACGGGGCAGAGCCGCAGCATGGCGTGGATGGTGCTGGCCTGATCGGATCCCCTTGGCGGACACAAGCGGAAGTTACTCTCAAAAGTTACTTAGGTGGACAGGACCCCGAGGCCTCGTGGGAAACCATCCGGAAGCGGGAAAAGTCCGCTCCCGGCTGACTTAGAAAACTCGAATTTTATTTTTGCCATTTTTTGGGGGGCGCGGGCGGGAGGGGAGGGGGGGGGAGAAAGCAAAGACCTGGTTGCCATGGCAACCAAAGAGCGTCCCCCTAGTGCGCATGCGCAGAAAAACACAACAAAGCAGACAGGCCTAGCCTGACTCGGGGCTGAGCCGGAGGGACTGACGGAAGGACGGACGGGCCTGAAGGCGGCTTCCTCTCCTCGCAGGCCCGGCGGCTTCCGGAGGGCCTCACGGGCGGACGGACAGACAGACGGACCACGAAGGCGGCTGCTTCTCCTAGCAAGCCCTCGGTTTCCCTCAGGACGGACGGAGAAGCAGGAGCAGCGGCCCCGGCTCGCGCGGAGACCCTGGACCCGGTGAGGAAGACGAGGCCTGCTTGATTCTAGAAATGCACACATCCTCCTCCCGACCCTCCTAATCCTCCCGGCCCTCCTCACCCTCCTCATCCTCCCGACCCTCCCGACCCTCCTGGCCTTGGAGCGCTTCTCGCCCTTGTTGAACATGCAGGTGACAAACAAGCCCTAAAGGCCCCAGACTTTCTCACCAGCCCCACTAACTTCCTCTCCGTTTCTCTTCCTTTATTGCCCTGACCGTAGTTCTCTATAAAACAATAAAAATACATATAAATATAAGGAGTATTCTGGCAATATCTGGCAGTATTTTCTGTTATAGAATCTGGTTGAGTTCCCAATTCTAGCTGTGCACTTCATGGAGCCGTCGCACCAACATTTAATTCTTTTTTAAAAGATTTATTTTACAGTTCTTTCTGAAGTCACACTCGCTGCTATTATTCTCCTAAAAAGCTCCTTTATATGCTCGTCTCTCATGGACACATAAATTCTGTTTTTAATTAGATTTTGATGATCTTTCCATAGTTGATGAAGGCACCAAGGGTCCAGGGCAACAGGAAAGTGGGTAAGATCATTGCTTCCACATTATTATTAGTAGTAGTATATATTATTTTCTGTATCTGGGGCAAAGGGGGAGAAAATGGGGCTGCTCAACTGGATTTATTTTTTATTTTTCGTATTCTTTTATTTTGATAATCTTTACATATCATGATTCCACTGATAGGAACTGTTCTAGAATTTGCAGTGGTGTCACGAAAATAGAGCATGACCCACCAAACCCACGCCTATCATACATATTAAACCCCACCCTGTGGCCACTGACAGGAGCCTTATCGGCCTTCTTTTTAAATTTTTATTTTATTTTTATTAGAAAGTCAAATACCGAGAGGAGGAGAGACAGACAGGGAAATTTTCAAAGTGGAGTTGCCGGGTTGCCGGGATTAGAACCGGCAACTCCCATATGGGATCCTGGTGCATACAGGGTGAGGACTTCAGCCACTAAGCTACCATGCTGGCCCCAAATAGGTTGAATTGGCCCTTGTTTGCATATTATTACTCTTACTTGATGATCAAAACACAAAATACTCTGGTGACCAGAATGAAAATAATGTTTTAAACGTGCCAAAAAAAAAATTCTAATAGTCTGACTTAAATCACCTTTAATGCTAAAAGTAATCGTCCCTACAGTTACACTCTGAGGTTGATGATGAAAAAAACAAAATATTCCAGTGACCAGAATGAAAATAAATTTATTTCTTTAAACATGAAAAACAAAAACCCCAAAACTCTGACATAAGTCTGCTGCACCACTAATTCTCTCTACAATTACACTCTTACCCCTAATTTTATGATCAAAATAGAAAATACTCTGAAAAAATAAATTTATATTTTTTCAATCTGCTCACCAGATTGAAAGTAAACTTAATTTATTTAAAACAACCAAATTTATTTTATTTTCACTCTGCTGACCTGTTCTCCTCTGAAAGCTCGTCATGAAAAACATGATTTAGCGGAGGGTTGGGCAGAGTAGGCTCGGGCTCTGGGGGGCTGCAGGGGTTTGGTTTCTTGTGGGCAGCGAAGGTCTCTGAGCATGTAGTGGGCGCAGCCGTTGCTTAGGTGTGAAAGGGGCTGTGGCTTTTTGTGCGGCCACCATGTTGGTGTTGGGGTGGTGTGAAAATTGTTAATCTTGTATAAAGCAACTCAATAAATTGTTTCAAAGTTTCAAAAAAAAAAAAACTATTTATCTGTCCTACCTGCTCTAAACTTCATACACCAGAGGAAAGTCTAAGAAATTGTAAAAAGGTCCAATGAACTAGAAAAAAACAAAAAGTACAAGAGAGTCTAATAAGTTATAGGGAAGTCTAATAAATTTTTAGAAAGTCTAATAAACTAGAACTCTAATCAAGTATAAGAAAGTATAATAAATGATAAGAAATTCTGATAAAGTAGAGAAAAGTCTGATAAGAAACTAATAAAGTATATGAAAGTCTAATACGTTATAGGAAAGTCATAAACTAGAAGAAACTCTAATAAAATATAGGAAACTCTGTTAAAGTCTAAGAAAGTCTAATAACCAATAGGTTAGTCTAATACACTAATCACTCGCAGTCCCCACACTTGTGACCACTGCAGGATCCTCTCCTCCTGTGGGGTCCTGCTTCCCGTCCTATTGCGCGTTGGGGTCTCTATCCTCGACCTACTGTGTGCTGGGGTGTCCACCCTCATCCTACTGCGCGCTGGGGTCTCCATCCCTGTCCTACTGCGCACTGGGGTCTCTGTCCCTGTCCTACCTTCGACCTACTGTGCACTGGGGTGTCCACCCTCGTCCTACTGCGCGCTGGGGTCTCCGTCCCCGTCCTACTGCGCTGTGGGGTCTCCATCCCTGTCCTACTGCGCTGTAGGGTCTCTGTCCCTGTCCTACTGCGCGTTTGGGGACTCTATCCTCGTCCTACTGCGCGCTGGGGTCTCCGTCCCTGTCCTACTGTGCGTTGGGGTGTCCACCCTCGTCCTGCTGTGCGCTGGGGTCTCCATCCCTGTCCTACTGCGCACTGGGGTCTCTGTCCCTGTCCTACCCTCGACCTACTGTGTGTTGGGGTCTCTATCCCTGTCCTACTGCACGTCCCTCAGCAGCACTGCACCTTCTTTTTCTGTTTTTAATTTATATTTTTGAAGTTAATCATACAATTTACTATAGACTCTGGGATTCACCTCCCTCCAGGATCCAACCCCGTGATTGATTTTTCCCCATAATTTATTTATTTATTTTTCTTTTTTAAATGTATTTGTAAAATCTTTGTTTTTGAAATTTATAATTTCTTTTTAAAAATATTTAATTTTTATTCTCTGTAGGGTCTGTGACTCAACTCCCCCCAATATCCACTACCTCAGATAGATCTTTTTCCCACAATCTTTTTTTCTATTATTAATGTATTTTTAATTGTATTTTGAAATATATCATTTTAAACAATATATTTCTAAATTTTTATTTTTGAAATTAATCATATAATTTGCCATAGATTCTGGGATTCCCCACTCCACAATATCCTAATCACCCCGACTGATTTTTCCCATAATTCCTTTTTTCTTTTTTTAATGTGTTTTAAGTTTTATTTTTGAAACCAATAATTCATTTTCTTTTCTTTGATACATTTTTAATGTTTATTTTTGAAATTTATAATTTTTTAATATAGTTTAAAATTTTTATTTTTGAAATTGATGGTACACTTCCATGCAGTCTGGGATTCCCCTCCCCCTATTTCCACACCCAATCAATTTTTCTCATTTCTTTTTTTTCCTTTAATAAGTTTTAAAATTTTATTTATTTTTAATTTTGATTAATTAATTTTGAGGGATAATCTTTATTATTATTATTATTAATTGTGTTCCATTATGTGACACAGTTTCATAGGCTCTGGATTCCCCCAACCCCTCCACGTGCCCTCCCCCCATGGTGGATTGCTCCACCTTGATGCTGTATTACAGTTCACATTCAGTCAAGATTCTTTCTTTGCAAACATATACTAAGCATAGAGTCCAGCATCTTATTGTCCAGATAAATTCAGCAGTTTCTTAGGGAGACCATCTCTGGTCTGAAGGCAGAGCTGTCAGAATATCATCCTGATCAACTGAAAGCCCCAGCATAACATCAACAACAATTTACAACATTATGGAATTGAGATGGTATTGAGTAATCAATATATTAAAGCAATGCAAGTTGTTAACCACGACCTGTGACTACTTCATTGACATCTCAATTTTTGTTTGTACACAGAACCGGCTGCTATACACCTTAAAGTGGCTATAGGGTACTATTCAGCTGTCTTGTGTCTATTTTCATTTTAGTATTTAGCGGTTTATTATGTTGAAGCATAATTTTGCTGAACTTGGCAGATTTTAGGATAGTCTAAACTGGCTTATACATCTGACAAGGCATTTGTCAACAGTTGAGGTGCAGAACAGTTTTAGGAGGGGTGTGCAGAGAACTCTTCAATACCCTAGTAAGGAGTAATTAATCCTGTGTCCTACCTAGTAAGGTATGTATGAGTCCACACTGACCATTTCCTATTTGATTCTAAGCTTTTCTTGTATTTCTCTGACTACTCTAATTTTTTTTGAGGGGGGTGCTCCGGAGCAACCCTGATGGTCATTGCAAGAGAGGGTGGGGACCCAAAGTTGGAACTAAGTAAGGACCAGAAAAAGCTCCTCTCCCTAGTCCCAAAGGGTTACTGTTCTGTTTCTGCAGACCACTAAGGGCTTCTGGCTATTGTTCCAATGACCTTGAATCCTGTAAGGAAGGATTTGGGCTTCTTCTATCCCATGTGGTAGATCCAAATGGTGCTGGATGACCTCAGAGTTCTCGGCCTCCGAAGGCACTCCAATTCCCTGTGGTCTCCTTGGCTGTTGGGATGTATTCCTTGGTGCCCGTACTGATAGTCCTTAGTTAGGATCTGGGAGTCTCCAGGGTTGGGATACAAGCCTCCTCCTGTCTACCTGCTCCACTCTGGGGTCTCTCCCCTGCTATGTGCATATGACCTCCTGTTAAGAGGTTGTCAGGATCGCCCTTGATTCTTTGAGGGGATAATCTTACATAGTTGATGAGGCAGCTGTGACATCACACACCCCTTTGTCAATCCCATAACCGGTCTCACTCGGGAAGAATTCCAGCAAGTTCTGTCCCCACTGCAGGTTTTTCCTGTGGGTTCCTGTGGAAAAAAAAAAAAAAGCATTTATTTCTGTTTTTATCCAAGTCATGAAAACAATCATCAAAGCATGACTCGGCCTGACGTCATATCCGGGAACACAGAGGAAAGAGGAGCCAACTGCATGAGTTCAAGACTCACCGAGGGCCCGGTGCTATAGCCAGGCGGGATCCTGTGTGGGCACCGGTTCTAATCCCTGGGGCTCCAGGATGCCTCTCTGTGTCTCCTTCTCTCTCTGTACATCTGAATTGGCAATAAAAATAATAAGTAAATCTTTAAAAAAAAAGAGTTATTCAAACAGGGAATAAAGGACTTTACAATTAAAAAATAATAATAAATTAAAAGAAAGAATTATTGAAACACACTGAAACAGGGAAATAAGGACTTTGCAATTCAAAGAATAATAATAAATCTTAAAAAAGAGTTATTGAAACGGAAAATATTTTAATTTCAAAGTTTTATATTACATTATATATTTTATAATGTATTACATTTAATTGCAAAATTTTACATATTATGTATTTTATAATATATATTATTTTAATTTGTAATCAAAGTAATAATGCTTATAAATAAATCTTTAAAATTTTTTTGAAACAGAATAAACGACTTAGTAATTAAAAATAATGATAAATAAAATTTTTTGAAAAAGTTATTGAAATGGGGAATAAAGAACTTTACAGTAAAAAGTAAAAAGTTATTGAAACACATTGAAACGGAATAAAGGACTTTGCAATTAAAAAATAATCAATCTTAAAAAAAGAGTTATTGAAATGAAATATTTTAATTTCAAAGTTTTATATTACATTATATATTTTATAATATATATTATTTTTGCAATTACAAAATAATAGTAAATAAATCTTTTTAAAATATTTTAAAATAGTTATTGAAAGAGGGAATAAAGAAATTTGCAAATTAAAAAATTAATGAATGTTAATATTGGAACAGGGATAAAAGGACTTTGCCATTAAAAAGATAACAATAAATCTTAAAAAAACATCTAGCACACTGAAACAAGAGACTGATGATGAATTGAGTCCTGAAAAAGAATGATCCTATTGTAGGCACCTGGGGAAAAGCTGTTTGTGGGGGCTGGGAGTTAGGGGGAATCCCAAATAAAATAAAATTTTTTAAAAAATTATATAAAATTTTCTAAATAAATAAAAATGTATAACACATGTGTCAGGGCGGCTGGGGTTGAGGACAGGTCTGTCCTCGATGGAGGAGATAGAGAACCAACGACATCCCCGTCATCCTGGAGACCCTCTGTTGTCATGGAGACCATGAACGCATCCATGGACTCATTGGGGTAGGAGTGGTACCATGGCTCAGGATCTGTTCTAGAATATTTTTTTTGTTCCTCGATTTGTTCTAGAACATCCTCTGTGGTCCCAGATCTGTTCTAGAACTTTCCCTGTGGTCTGTGCTCGGATCCTGAGATGAACCGCTTCTTCCAGGGCAAGGAAAAATTATTATAGTAATTGTAATTATATAAATATTATAGCATTGTAAGTATTGTTATAGTAACTATGATAAAATTATACAAATATGAATATCATATAAACATTATGTTAGAAGTATAATTATACAAATACAGCTATTATAAATACTATGTATTATAAGTATTATAGTAACTATAATATAATTATGTAAGAATAAGTACTATGTAGGTATTATAGTATTGTAAATGTTATAATTATTATAATTAAATATTATGTAAATGTAACTATAGTATTAGAAATATTTTTATAGTAATTAAAGTTGTATAAACACGAATATTACATAAATATAATTATAGTATTACTTGTGAGTAATTATAGTTTATCTTAGGCCCCAAACACAGAGAACGTTCTAGAACACATCATGTGACAAAGAGTATATCAGGGACGCATCAGATGGAGAACAAAAAAAATAAAATAAAAAATCTTTTCAGTTAATGGAGAGTTTGAAGATATTGCAGGCACCACCGAGAATGTTCTACAACAGAAATAGTAATTCCTTGACGGTGGCAGTCTCCACAGAGAATGATCTGGAACAGAAATAGTGATTCTGTGTTGGCTACAGGGACCACAGAGAATTTAAAACTAAAATAAAGTTATGCCAAAAAAAATCTTGCAAAATAAAATTTAAAAATGAGAGAAAATTTAAAAATAAAAAAATGAAAGAAAAATATTTAAAATAAATAGATCTAAAAAATGAAAAAAAAGAAGCCAGTCATGGGACACCAACCCAACCCCTCACTCCACAAAACCAAGCTTGTCATGTGACTCGAACTCCAAATGCCTGTCACCTAACGGCAGGGGGTGAGGGGGAACATTCTGGTGGACACAGTTCAGTTCTTGTTCAGACAGGAAGTCCACCCGCCCCCCCCCAGGAAGTCAATGTTCCCCACAGGAAGTGGTAGTCCTGGAACACGAAGCACCCCAAGCGCAGCTGGGATGACTTAAGGCTTTCCTCCCTAGACAGGATGTGGAGAGGCAGAAAACATTCCTCACTGAACAGGAAGCAGTCTGTCCCCTACAGGAAGCTGTGCTGTTCGCTACCCGTGTGCATTGTGGCCTGCTGGGAAGAAGCCAATGGGAAGTAGGCACTGCACTAGGGACGCTGTCACTTCCTGTTTTCTCATTCACTTCTCTTTTGCTTCCTGCAGGAGATGCAGATGATGACTGAACGCCCTGTTAAGATCCAGTGACTCATTTCCTGCTGCCCTCTGGGACGGAGTAGGGGCAATTTCACTTCCTGTTCCTGCTCGTCCCGGACTCTGCTCAGTTCCTGCCTGCTGCGTGTCATCAAGAAGCGTGTCTTCACTTCTTGCATCTTACACTGACATCCTGCTGGATTTCTAGGACAATTAGGGGCGATTAAACTTTCTGCTCCTGCTGATCGACACCCTTCATCTCCTGCCATCCTCCATAGTGACTTCCTGTCCATCACGACACACTTCCTGCCTGGGGCTGAGTAGAGGCTTCTTCATGTCCTGCCATCGTCCACTGATTTTCTGTCTGTCATAACTTACTTCCTTCACTTCCAGTTCCTGTCCAGCAAGGACCGTGCTCAACTTCTTGCCTGCTGTGTCCTCACAAGGGGCACATTCTTTCCTGCTTGACCCAGCGTGCCCGCACCTCACTTCCTGTTCCGGTTGGCGGCCATGTCGGCAGGCAGCATAGTGCATGATGCGTCGGAGGCGGAGCCGCTCTGCCCGGCCCAGGGCCTGTTCCTGCAGCGCGTGAGCCGTCTGAGCATCAGTGTGGCACTGCCCGCGGGGACTACAACGGGTGCGGGCCGTGGCGCATCCACGTGGGAGGTCATGGAGCGGCTCAAGGCGCTGGCGCAGGCCCAGCCGCTCTCTGCCCTCCGTGTGGCGCGAAGCGCGCCCGAACTGGTGCGCCTGGAGGCCGAGGTGGAGAACCGCGCCCTTGCCCGCGCCCTGCTGCACCGCCTGGATGGACAGACACTGCGCCTTGCTGGCTGTGCCCAGGCTCTGCGAGTGCGCGCTGACGAGTGTCCTCCCCGCCCGCTGCCCACTACGCTTGATGATGGGGACGAGCGCCCAGACACGCTGCACCTGCAGGGCCTGCCTTGCCGCTGGTTCGCGCCCCGTCCAGGACGCCATGATTCAGGAGCCCACGTGGCAGGAAGGGACGCAGCAACTGTTGGGGCTGCTGGGCCTGCACACACAGGAAGTGCAGGCACAGGAAGTGATGCTGCCCAGACTGCACCTGGGTCGGACACTGCAGGAAGCGGATCTGACAGTACAGGAAGTAGCTCTGCCCTTACAAAAACTGGGTCCGCCACTACAGGAGGTGGTTGTGGCCTTTCAGGAAGTGGGTCTGCCCCTTCAGGAAGTGCATCCAACAGCTCCGCAATCACCTGCAGCATCCCAGGAAACGACCCAACATCCACGGGAACTCCTAGCAGCCCCATGGGAAGTGACTGTGCCATGACAGGAAGTCGCGGTGCCCTCACAGGAAGTGACTGTGGCACGACAGGAAGCCGGGGTACCCCCATGGGAAGTGGCCCCAGCCGGCGTGAGACAAGGCCGGTGGATGAGCGGCCCAGTGAGGAGGTGCTGGCTCGTGTGTTCTCCTGCTTTGGGGAGGTGCGGCGTGTGGACATCCCCATGCTGGACCCATACCGCCAGGAGTCACCCCGTGCTGTGGGCGTGGCTGGTGTGGTGGGCGGGGCCAGCGGCCCACTGCACTTTGAGGCTTTCGTGCAGTACCGTGAGCATGCTGGCTTCCTACGCGCCATGGCCGCCCTGCGTGGTGCCCGCCTGCTGTTCCGCGGGGACGACGGCAAGGCTGTGGCCTGTCACTTCAAGGTGCGAGGGGCGGGGACACAAAGAGGGTGGGGCAGGGAAGCCACGCCCATGGGAAAGGAAGGGTTCAGACAGCGAAGCAATGCCCACAGATAGGCAGGTTCACCACTTCCTGTGTGGGCGGAATCGGCTTCCTGTTGTTCCTGAGGATCTGGTACAAGGAGAGTCACAATCTGTAGGGGAACTGTCATTTCCTGTAGGCGAATTGTTGCTTCCTGTAGGATTATTATCATTTCCTGTAAGGGAACTCTCATTCCCTGTAGGGGAACAGTTACTTCCTCTCAGGCAAATGTCTCTTCCTGTGGTCTCGTGACCCCACCCTGCTTTGTGACCCTGTGGCCTCCACTGCTCTCCACTGTGGCCCTTTTCTCTCTGTTGGTCCCTCGGTGACCCTGCAACTCCTGCCTGCTGTGACCCTGTCACAATGATCCTGTTTAACCCATGACCCAGAGACCAGGTCACCCCACCTGCTTTCTCGCCACATGACCCTGTGACCCCACATAGCCCTGGGATGCTGTGACTCAGTCACTGTAGCCGAATCCTCCCTGTGACCCCATGACCCTGCTCCTTTTCCAACAATGTCTTTGTGACTTTTTACCGTGGCCCTACACGATCCTGTGACCTTGATTGACACCAGCTTGTTCCCCACGACCCTGTGACCTTTTTGCTGTGACCATGAGAAAACACAATGTCACCCTTTCTCCCCATGACCCTGTGACCCAGTGGCTGTGACCTGTGACCCCAACACCCCCAGGTGACCTCGGATGCGACCCAGCACCTGAGCGATGCATCCGTTCGTCGCCGGCAGCTCGAGCGGCAGAAGCTGCAGGAACTGGAGCGGCAGCGGGCAGCACAAAAGAGGCGCGAGCTCGAGGAGGAGGAGCGGTGTGCAGGGCTACAGTTGGGGGTGGGGCTGAATAATGGGTGGGGCTATGAGAGGGCAGGGCCTCAAGGGGTGGGGCACCAATGGGCGGGGCTTCAGCCCACAACTGCTTTTCCTCAAGGGATCGGTGACGTCACGGCTTAGCCCCAGTGACTCTGTGACCCTTTTTGGATGTCGTCCCCATGTCCCCTGCTGGTGTGATGTCACCCTCCCTGTGTGATGTCACCATGATCTCATGTGAACATACGTCCCTCTATGTGATGTTACCCTGTCCCTTGACTCCTGGATGAGTGATGTTTGTCCCATGACACTGTGACCTCATGACCCTCTCTGTGTGATGTCAACCTTCTGACCCATGGAGCTGTCATGTCACCATGACCTTAAAATCCTGGCTATGTGAGCCCTTGATTCATGGCTTGGTTTCCCTGTGACCCTCACAGTGTGATGTCACCATGACCCCATGTGACCCCATGACCCTCTGTGACGTTACCAGGACCCCTTAACCTGTGCAGGGTGACGTGCTTGTGACCCAGTGACCCTCCCTGTGTGACCTAATGACCCTCAATATGTGATGTCACTCTATCCCCATGACCCTCTGTGCGACGTCTCCATGACGTTGGACCGTGGCTGAGTGACATCCCTGTGACCTTTATTGTGTGACATTCCCATGACCTTGTGACCCGTGACTGGATGACATGCTTGTGACTCCATGATCTTCCTGATGTGACCTTGTTACCCTCAGTGTGTGATGTCACCATAACCAATGACCCCGTCTGGCAGGCGGCAGCGGGAGCAGCAAGCCCGGGCACGGCAGCGGCGTCGGGAGGAGAAGCGGCGTCGCCGGGAGGAGCGGGAACGAGGTCGCGCTAGGCGTCGGGGTCGGAGGCGTCTGCAGCGGCTGCAGGCGGAGGAGCGGCGTGTGCGGCTGGAAGAGCGGCGGCTGCTGCTGGCACAACGCAGCCTGCAGGCACTGAGGCTTGTGGGGGCGCTGCTGGGGCGCGCAGAGGTGAGTGCTTCCTGTGCCAGCAGGACACTACCTGTGTGGACTCTGGCGACTTCCTGTTATTGCTGAGCGTCTGGTACAGCAAGAGTCACAACCTGTAGGGGAACTCACTTCCTCTCAGGGAAATGTCACTTCCTGTTTGGCAACTCTCATTTCCTGTAAGGGAAAGGTCTCTTCCTGTAGGGGAAATGTTACTTCCTATTATGGAAATGTGACTTCTTCTAGAGGAACAGCCATTTTCTGTAAGGGAACTGTCACTTTCTTTAGGCAGACTGGCACTTCACTCTGGAAAATGTCGCTTTCTGTATTAGAACTGTCACTTCCAATAGGGATTCTCTCACTTCCTGTAGGAGAATTCTCACTTCCTGTGAGGGAAGTGTCACTTCCTGTTGGAGAGCTGTCATTTCCCATAGCAGAGTCACTTCCTGTCAGGGGGACATGTGACTTCCACAAATGGACCTCGGTGGCTTACAGTAGGGGAATGCTCACTTTTTGTGAGGGAAAGTTCACGTGGTGGGTGACTGGAGGGAGTTTGCTCACTTCCTGTCAGGAAGCACTCCCTTCTTGTGCTTCACTTCCTGTAACTGGTGGGATTTTCATCATTTCAGGGTGCACTCACTTCCTGTATTGAGTCACTTCTTGTTATGGACAGCTCACTTTCTGTCTGTGTGTCTTGGGGGACTTGGTAATTTCCTGTTTGCTTGTGTTTGAGTCACTTCCTATTGGTTTCTGCTGACTTCATGAGCCACTTCCTGTCTAGTGGGGGCTTTAAACTGTTAATGTTGGGGCTTGGTCACTTCCTGTCTGTGTATTGTGTGGGTTTAATTGCTTCCTGTAGTGGTTTAGTCTCTTCCTACTTGGATTTGCTATCTTCCTGTTGCGATTGGTGACTTCATGTCTGTGTGTGTTGGGGCTTCATCAGTACCTGTAGGGGCTTGGTAACTCCTTTTGGGGTTGGTTACTTCCTGTCCATGTCTGGATATGCTGACTTTCTCTCCGTATCTGTTGGGGTTTGGCAACTTCCTGTTGGGCCTTATCCTGTGTCTATCTCCACAGGCGTCCCGGGTATCGCAGGAGGCAGGTCGGCGACGGCTGCAGGAGGCGGAGCTTCGGCGTGTGGAGGCGGAGCAGGCGCGTGCGCTCGGGCTGCAGCGCCAGGAGCGTGAGCTGCGGCGCCGCCTGCTGGCCGCTCTGCTGGGCCCGGGAGGTGGGGCCGATGCAGCAGGCTCCACCCCCCTGCTGGACGTGCTGCGCAGGGTCAAGGCCAGACATGATCCTGCTATGAACACCCCTGCAGTGACCCCCACTGTGATGTCATCTGTGACGTCATCACCGTTGCCCGAGAGACGAGGACGACGTCATCGATCACGCAGCCGGTCGCGTGAGGGGCAGGGCCGGCGCTGAAGGCTTGATATCACTTCCTGTGGGGGCTTAATAAAGACACGAGTTTTCCCAGTTTGTGTGAATTGTGTTATTTTTTCCCTGAGTCATGAATACGCAAATGAGTATTACCATGAACATGCATATTAATAATGAAGTGTAGCTCATCAATACACAAATATTTTCTGTCTTTAATATATTAATTTGTTTTGATTTTGGATATTATTTTTGTATTGCTATGCAAATAAATGATAGTGGGTTTTAGGAATATGTAAATGAATATGAGCTCTTATGAATACACACGTGACAGAAATCAGCCCCTATGGATATGCAAATCAGCTGTGAAGATCAACTCATTAATATGCAAGTAATCTATTATTCGGGGTCTCCCGTCCTGTGGAAGGACACTTGAGAGAGTCTCAGAGGCACTTTATTCAGATCTTTGGTTAAAAACCGTTATGTCTGTTGTTTCCATTATGCTGAAGCCCCTCCCCCGCCAAACCCACCCCCCCCACCGCTTATCTGCCAAACCTGCCCAATCAGCTTAAAGATCACCAAAGCACACCAATCAGGGCTAAGGGCCAATCACAGCGCAGGAAATTGTCAGTGCCCCCAACAATCTATCATAAATAAAGTCTAGTAACTCACTTTGAAAATGACTTTTCAAATGAATTTGCAAATACACTCCTTGTGAGTATTAATGAGTATGCAAATGAAGCAGGTATCATTCGGTAAAGGAAGTGAGTCAACATTGTTGACAGGAAGTGACTCAGTGCTTGGTGCTGACGTGCTCCCTTCCTAATTAGGTCAATGGCAGATGTTCTAGAACAGCCTGGGTTAATCTGGGCTATCCAGTCCTTTAAAGGCACAAGGCCTGCGGTTCCTCCCTTGTGGGAGTCGGTGAGAGCAACGGACACAGGAGGGACACAGGGGGAACACAGGGGACACGATGGACGTTGGACACCAGGAGGACCACAGGGGGAACATGATGGACGCACGCAGGGACGGTGAGAATGCGCTGCCAGATGAGGCCGACCTGCAGCACCTGGAGAGGCTGGTGCTCGGCTTCATGGCGTCGCAGGTGAGGGGGTTGTGACTCCAGGACGTCAGCACCTGTGGGGTTGTGACCCTGGGTTGCCATCTCCCTGGGGGTCGTGACCTTGGGGCATCATGAATATGCAACAGTCAGTTATGAACATGCGATCACAGAGTCAAAAATATGTAAATGAGCACGTGGATCGTGATAAGTGTGGCTGTCTAGGATGATGAATCTAGAATTATGCTAATTTACATACCCAGGGGAGTGATGGGGAGGTCACAGAGGAGGATGCATGTAACGTCATGGCCATGTGATGATGTCAACACCATGATGTTCTGTGTGCCCTGACATCATGTCTGTGATGTCATGTCCCATCACATGCTGCCTATGATGTCATCTCTGATATCGATGCGTTATGTCTTGCGAAAGGCAGCGATTACGTCATATGTGCTGTGGCCATGCATGACGGCATCCCGGCATCACCATGTGTCCTCATGGTTGTGGTGACTACATCGCCATCCTCCTCCTGTCCACAGGCGCTGTTTGCTGGCTGCGAGCTTGGCCTTTTTGACCTCCTGGCGGGTGGCGCGCTGGGAGTGGGGCCTGTGTCGGGGCGGCTGGGACTGAGTGTGCGGGGGACGCAGAGGCTGCTGGATGTGCTGGTGGCACTGAGGCTGCTGGGAGCCACTCCTGGCCCGGAGGGAGAACGTGAGTGTGTGCACTGCGGGGGAACCTACATGGGGGACGGACACAGACTTGGGAGACTGCCCCTACAGGAAGTAACTGAGACAGTACAGGAAGTGGTTCTTGCCCGGTAGGAACTGAGTTGTGTTTTAAAGGAAGTATATCTGCCCCGACAAGAAGTCAGTTTGTTCCCACAGGAATTTAGTCTGCCCCTACAGGAAGTGGGTTTGCTATTAGATGAAGTGGTTCAGGTACCATAGGAAATGGCTTTGCCCCTACAGGAAGTAACTTTGCCCCACAGCAAATGGGTCTATTCCTACCGGAGGTTGGTCAGTCACTATAGGAAGTGGGTCTTGTCATGTAGAAAGTGGGTCCTCCCTTACAGGAAATGGTTCTGCTCTTACAGGAAGTAAGGGTTTCAGTTCCAGTAGAAAGGGGGTCTGTACACAGGAAGTGTGACTAAGGGGACAGAAACAGGGAGAACCCTTCAATAGAAGGAACAAAAGTCTGCCACAACAGGAAGTGTCTGTGGGAACAGGAAGTGGGAATGGCAAAAACCAAGTTTGGTCACAGGAATTGCGTCTTTCCTCCACCCAAAGGCTTTCTAGTAGTACAGGAAGTAGGTCTGCCCATACAGGAAATAGCTTTGCTCCCAGCAGAAGCAGGGCAGCTAGCACAGGAAGCAGCTCTGTACGTGGGAAGGTGCCTACGTGATGGCGGCTGCAGCACAGGAAGTGTTCTCACGCCTGATGTGGGCGGGCCTCTGTGACGCAGTGATTTACGCACTGACCCCGCTGACCCGCGCCTGCCTGACGCGTGAAGGCTGTGCTTCCCAGCACCACCTGCTGCGCTACCTGGGCGGGACGACGTACCGGCTGTGGGCGCACCTGGCGGAGGCCGTGAGGTGGGCCGGGCTTGGTGGGCCGGGCCTGAGGGTCTGCGGGAGTCACTGGGAAGGTGGATCCGGCAGAGGGCTGGGGCCTGGTGGGCTGGGTTTTGAGGTAGCAGGGCTAGGCGTCCAGGGGGTGCAGTCTGTAACTGTGGGCGGGGCCCTGCCAAGACCCCGCCATGACCTCACCATGACCTCGCAGGGAGGGCTGCCATCAGTATGCTCGCGCATTTGGTGTCAGCAACGACGAGGAAGATGACCTGTTTGCTGCCATTTACAGGTGAGGCGGTCACGCCTTTTCCATTAGCTCCACCCCTTGTTGAGAGCCAGGTCCACAACAGCCAAGGAAATGACTTTACAACCTCTTGGGATATGCCCCCTGATGTTAGCCCTCTGCTTGGAGACCACAACCATGATGACATCATGAGCACAGGCTCCACCCCTCACTGGGACCCGCCCACCTTTACCGGCCCACCCACCCCAGGCTCCTCCTTCTCAGGCCCCGCCCTTTCTGCAGGTCAGATGACGAACGCCTGCGTTTCCTGTCGGGGCTGCAGGACACTTGGCGTGACTCCAGGCTGACCCGGAAGCTGCTGACGGCCGAGGACATGGCTGCTTTCCCACGCGTGTGTGACCTTGGGGGTGAGACACACGGACAGGAAGTGGCTGTGTCCTGACAGGAAGTAACTTCCCTGAGACAAAGTGACTGTTCCTTACAGGAGGTAACCATTCCCCAATAGAAGTCAGCGTGCCCACAGAAGAAGTGCTGATCCTTGTTAAGAAGTGTATGTTCCATGACAGGAAGTCATCCTGCCCCTGCTGCCTGCCCAGAAAGTGCCCCTTCCTATAGAACAAGTTCCCTTTCCCTTGACAGGGTCCTTTCCCTCTGAGGAAGTGCCCAATTCCCTAAAGGAAGTAGGCCAGTCCTGACAGGAAGTTGTAATGCGTCCCCTGTCTGGCACCGTCCCAGGTGGCAGCGGCGAGCTGGCACGCGCATGGGCGTTGCTCTACCCAGCGAGCGCAGTGACGGTGCTGGAGACGCCCGAGGTCGTGCGTGACGTGATGGACAAGTTCCTGCCCCACGAGCGCGTGTGCTTCATGCCAGGTGGGCCAGGCCTGACTCGGGCGTGAGCTCCTGGTCCAACCTCAGGGGGCGGACAGTGTGAGGGGCGTGTCCTGACCGAGGCCTGCTCCCTGTGGCGTCACAGGCGATTTCTTCCGGGACCCGCTGCCTCCAGCCGATGTGTTCATCCTCGCCCGTGTCCTGCACGACTGGGACGACACCACGTGTGCGCAGCTGCTGGGGCGCGTGGGCGGGGCCTGCGGGCCAGGTGGGCAGGGCCTCTGTCGGGGTGGGCGGGGTCTGTGGGAGGAGTGGAAGAGACAGGAATTCACACAATTTCCGTGAAACAGGCGGCTCTTCACAATGGAAGTGATTATGCCCCTAGTGGCCATATAGGAAGTATTTGGAGAGAAACAGGAAATAGCTCAGAAAGCACAAGAGGAAGATTGTTGAGACCTACACATTAAACGGGAAGAGCCCGTTCCCCTAGTGGAAGTTGTCCTTTCCTCAGCAGAAGTGACTCATCTCTGACCGGAAGTCTCTTTTCCCTGAGAGGAAGTCCCTATTCCATGTCAGGAAATGCTCATCTACTCAACAGGAAGTGCTCATTCTCCTACCAGAAGTGCCTTTTCCCCAACGGGAAGTGTGTATGCCATGAGAGGAAGTGAACATACAGTCACCAGTAGTGGTCTCTGGGGAGCAGGAATCGCGTCCTCGTGACTGTCGTCCCTCTGCAACGTGCATCTCACACTCTCCCATTCTGGCAGGCGGTGCAGTCGTGGTGGTCGAGGCGCTGCTGCCCGAGGAAGATGACTTTGGCGGTGATGCAGCTGAGGGGGCGTGGCCCGCGTGGTGGGCGTGGCCTGCCGTGCGCACGCGCCTGCTGTCCCTCAACATGCTGGTGCAGACGCGCGGCACCGAGCGCTCGGCCGCCCAGTACCTTGACCTGCTGGCGGCCGCCGGCTTTACCAGGGCGCGTGCGCACCGCACTGGCAGCGCCTATGATGTCATCGTGGCACGCAAGTGATGTGGAAGGGGTGGGGCCAGTGGCTGCATGCAGATGACGTATGTGATGCTTAATTTGCATGTTGTGTCATGTTCTGGTCCACACGCTAATGTAGAATTGAATATGTAGATGAGATGATAATGGTAGGCTTTATATGCGAACTGTGTTCAGGTGATTGTCCCCATTTGTAGCGCATTCTAATGAGGCCTTTAATATGTTGATGAGTTGGAAATGAAGGCGTTAATGGTAATGAGACCTTTCATATGTAGATGAGATGGTAATGAGAAGTTAATAGGCACGTAGTGTGCCAGTGTGAAAGGAAGAATTGAAACGAGATGCTAGTGGGATGGTTGATATATAGATCGTATGCTAATCGTGCTAATGCTTCATCTGTATTATGCTAAGGTGACCATGTATATCATCACCCACCACCTTTATGCTAATGTGACGCTTCATTTGTATGTGACGTCACTGAGGAAACTGCAACTTTTATTTCTTTAATTCAAAACTCGGAAAACAAACCATGAGGAAAAATACAAAAAAACATAGAAAAGGACAAAAAGGAGAAAAAAACAGGAGCTGCAGGGGCTGCTGGGAAACCCTGTGCACGTGGGATGGGGCCAGGAGGATCCTGTATGCTTATGAACTGGGGCGGGGCTGAAAGGCACAGGAGGGTTGGCCTATGCTAATGAGGTCATGGAGACCACAGTGCTTAGCATCAGAGGGGGCGGAGCCAAGGCTGCTAGGTTCCCTGGGGGCAGAGCCAATGACATCACCACAGTAGAGGGCGTGGATTAGCATTTTTGGGGGCAAGTCCTTCATGTGCCAAGTTCATTCTGTGGTCAGTGACATCAGGGGCGGGGCTTGCGATCCCCAGCTGAGGGCAGTGTGGGCGTGGCCTTTGCCCTCAATGGGAGGGATCACAGCAAAGGGGCATGTCATAAGTGTGCTGTGACATCATGACGCTGGGCCATGCCGTTTCATATGGTGGTGTCACTATGAGGGGCGCGGCCTACATGCTCTGTGGGCGTGGTCTTACACAGGGACGTGTCTGCCCCAAGTGGAGGAGCATCCAGTAAAATAGAGTGATGTCACTGAGAGGCGTGGTCTTACCGAAAGATTGGCTACCGCCCAGAGTGGGCAGGACCGTGACACGGATCAGGACCGTGATGTTAGGGGCGGGGCCTGAAATTCTACAGGCAGCTGTCATGGTGAGGGGCGTGGCCTCCTCAGGGGCGTGTCTGAACCTGCACAGGGCAGGGCCTGCATGTCCATGGTGTGACGTCATGGTGAGGGGGCATGTCCCTTGACATCAGGGGGCGTGGTCAGCATGGTCAGTGTGGTTGGAACTGGCAGCCCAGTGAGCAAGCTCAGGGATCGGGTTATGAGGGCAAAGGTGGGGAGCACAGGCTGCAGGAAGGTGACCGGAAGACATGTAGGCGGGCCGTCGAAGAAGGTGAGCGTTTCCTTGGTTCTAGTCCAGGAGGACGTCAAGCCGCGACCCCTGCGACCCCAGGAGTGTGATGCTGTGAGCTGATTTCCTGTGAGCATTGGAAGTCCATCTGCTTTGAATATCTCAAACCTGTGTATCTTACAGAAAATAGACATCTATGTTAGATTTCACTTGCTTCACACATTGAGTTAGCTTGCAGTTTGGCATCTCAGTGTACAGAGACACCACAGGCCAGTGTCTCCTGCTTACTTAATGTAACATGTCCCCTCTAGCTCTAATCCTGCTTCTCTCTCTCTCAGTGGGAAAATGGCCCTGTTGGAGAGCGCCCCTGGATCTCTGCCTGCCTAGCCCATTGTGGGAGGACATCTGCACACAGCTTACCATGTCCCAGGGGAACCTCTGACAGGAGTCTTGGCTAACTGAGACCCCAACATGGACTGTTCACTGCGCATGCACCAAGAGTGATGAGCTGCACCCAAGTCTTTTCTCTGCCTCTTTAACAAACTGTATTAGGACTCCCTTGGCAAGCAAACGTAGGAGGTCAAATGTTACATTTATCCTGCTTTTCAGCAGGTAACAGAGTTTGCCCTGAGACACAACTTCTTGTGCTTCCTGACTTTTAACTTCGTTGGAGGGTCTGGAGAGATAGACATACTTCCTAATGTGTCACAGTGTCATTGTTGGATGGAAGTACTGTTAGGACCACCCTTCTGCCTGCTCCTTTTTCCTACCCTATATAAGTTTGTGACTTCTTTAAAAAAAAATGGACATACCTCACCACCAGTTTGTCTCTAGTTTGTCTGCTGCAGAAGAATACTGTCACCTCACTCCCTGGTGGTTTCAGGGTCTGTTAGACAGAAGATGCGCCCCCCCCCCCCGATGGCCCCGTGCTTTACCTTTTCCTGTTTCAGTTCCACTTTGTGGGAGATCATCCCTTGGGTCTTTGCCTGATACATGGCGGGTGGGCTCTCAGCTCACCTGCCCATGAGCTGAGGCACAGCTTCCAGCCATGCATGTGGAATGTGATCTCTGACATGCCTGGAGGGTCTAGGGGAATAAACACACTTCCTAGGCAATTACAGTGTCTTTGGTGGTTGGCAGAGCTATTGGAGGACATCTTCCAGCTCTCCTCTTCCCTAACCTTTATAAGCTTGTAACTTGTGCTGAATAAACTAACATTCCTCACTGGCTGAGTAACACTGTGGCCTCACCCCTCAGTGACCTCGGGGCATGCTGGTCAGGAAACTGTTGTGTGACTAGTTCCTTTTCTATATCTTAATTTCTTGTATCTTTCCTGGGTAATCTCTGATGAGCACATTAATTTTATATCCAGGGCATCCGAGCTTTTTGTTATATAAGGATAATATATACATAATAAGCTAGGGAGGTTTGTGACCCGAGTAAACCCTCCCATTTCATGTCTTGAGGAAGGTAAGAAATGTGGAACAATATCTCATTATCTCCACCTACAAGTCTGGTTCGTTTCCCAGCCTCCATGCTGATGCTGATGGAGGTAGTTCAGTGGGTCTTCAGCTGCTTAGACTTGCTGGGCTGTGGTGGTAGTGGGTGGTAGTGGGTCTGCTTTGCTCCTCCCTGAAGCTGTGATCTGTGCACTGCAGACCCTCAAGACCAGAGTCAGCAGCCTCCCACCGAGAAGCTGTTTCTGCAGTCTGGCAGCCAGAGTAAAGGCATAAGAACCATTTCCAAGCTGAATAGGGGAGCTGATGGGATTCCATGCACATGCAGGAACTACATTTTGAAACACTGAACTACTTACCTGAGTGTTGATTGTGTCTAATGTGAAGCTGTTAACTTTACAAAACACAGGATTTTTTTTGTAAGATTATGGAAAATGTTTCTAATTAGAGAAAATATATACATGCTTATGAAGGAACTTCTACTTTAGTCTCATTTCCCCATAACATTTGTGAAATTCTTTCATATGTGGTAATTAAATAATAAAATTCCTTTGGTCCTTTTAACTATAATTTGTTGTGATTAGGTCAATACAAAGTCAGATTTTGAAACTGAATTAAGAATGAAATATAAGCCCCCCAAAAACAGATGATGAAATTGGCTTTTTTTTTTTTTTAATCTTTCAGGCTGTCCCTTTTGTTTGCACAACACTATGTGACACTGTCTTTGCCTCCAGATCTCTACACCCTGAACATGATGGGGCTCCTTCCCTGTTCACTCAGCCTGGCCCATCCTTCCCACCTGAACACATTCAATTCTTCACTTTGTTGCTTCCTAGGACTTCCCGTGGGGTCCCCACGTGCCCTTTCTAGAGCCTCAGGAACATATGGTGATACCTGCAAGCCACTGGGTCTCTTCCACTGTCCAGTGAGGTCTGAAAAATGGGCCAGAGCCACTGTGTCACTAGTACCTCATTACAGATGGACAGCCACACCCAGCACAAGCCCATATACACCATGGGCACTGGGCACTGGGGTGTGGACCTGGGATTTGAACTCCTCAGACAACCCTTAAGACCTGTCTGAGGTCTGAGGTCAACCATATATTTCTACAAAGTGAATTTATTAATAGGCCACAAATGCTACATATGAGCCTTCCTAATTGCATATACTAATGATTCAACTGCAAAAAACCAGCCATGAGACATTTGGGGAGATTAGAATGCTGAATAGTTAATGAAATAAGAAAATCATAAAATATTTACATGGTAGTGGAATCGTGATTAGTATAGAAATTTTCAGTTTTAAGTGAAAAGTACAATTCTTTCTAAATTGTTCCTGTTTTGTGCATAAATATTTTCATCTTTATCATAAAATCTTGCCTCCACAGAGATGAGGAGTCAAAGCAGAGGTATAAGTGCACTGCACAGTGAGTGTAGAACATTCTCAAAAGAGGGAATGCTGGCTCAGCTGTCAAATCCTCGCCTTGCAAGTGTCAGGATCCTATATGGGTGCTGGTTTGTATCCAGCTCCTCCTCGTTCATCCAGCTGCCCACGTGTGGCCTGGGACAGCAGTAGAGGATGGCTCCTAGCTGTGGGAGCCAGAATGCACATGGGAGACCTGGAAGAAACTCCTGGCTCCTGGCTTTGGATCAGCTCAGTTCTGCCCGTTGTGGCCACTTGGGGAGTGTACTAACATATGGAAGATGCCTTTTCTGTCTGTCCTTTTCTCTAAATCTGCCTTTCCAGTGAAAATCAGTAAATCTTAAAGAAAAAAAAAGAGGTAGTGCATATTCATGTGTGTGTGATGTTGGGCTAATCCAGATGGAGTGACAGGTATTAATGAACAGATTAGCATGTTACATATGAAGAGATTGGAAAGAGGCTGTAAGAGCACCCTGTGCCTGTCTAGGTCTTCACTTCTCTGAACTGTGGGCACGCTCTTCATTCAGGGTCCACCTGGATAGTGTGGGATAATTATACCATTTGTTTATTAGAGTCGTTACACCCGCAATGACAATTTCTCCATACAATGCCATTGTCACAGCACCCAGGGATTAGGACATGCTCCTGTATTTTAGGGGGACAGGGAGAACACCACAATCCATTCTCTGGTGGGGATGAAAAGAAGTCATTGAAAATTGCTCAATTAG